GAAGAGAGCGAGAGAGGCCCAGAAGGGGCCGTGTGGCAGAGCTGGTGGCAACAGGCCTAGAAGGGGCCCTGCGGTAGAGTCTGTGGTGACAGCAGACACCTGCTGCTAAGAATGCAGCTCAGAGAGCTGAACAAAGCTGCTACACTGGCTGTGAGCTGGGTCAGTTAGCAGTGGAGAGGCTGATGACAGGGAGGCTGAAGGCAGAGAGGCCTGCACCACTGAGTAGGGGTGTGCACGGCCAGGAGGAGGCCTGTCCTGAGGGGGCCAAGAGGAAGCCTATCATGAGGGGGTTGAGAAGAGGCCTGCAAGGCTGAGAGGGGGCATGCATGGCAGAGAGAAGGGCCTGCTTGGTTACATGGCTGAGAGGGGCTGCCCTGCACTGAAGAAGGGAGGGATGTGCTCTCCACTTCAGTGGAAGCTTCCAGATTTTGCCTACTTTCTTTCTGATCCTGTACCTTGTCACTTCTTTAATAAACCACTTCAATGTAAATATGGTATGTGAGTTCTCTGTGGCCATTGCAACGAAATAATTGAACCAAGCAGAGAAGTAGAGAGTGCTGTGGGGGCGACAGCTGGTGTCAGAATTGGTAAAAAGGCTGGAGAGTGGAGACATGTCTGACCTCCACTCAGAGGTGGAATATCTACTAAACAAGGTAAGCACGATGTTTACCTTGCTTACCAGATCATCCGTAGTGAACAATTTCACATTTTTTCACCACATCAAAGATGCTGCTTCTAAGTATGGCTGGAATCTGTCTTTTCCCAATCCCATAGCACCTTCATATAGAATCAAAGCCTCTTTTTAAATTTACAATCCCTGACAGGGACAGATGATCCAGTAAGCAAGGTAAGTACGGGCTTACTTGTGCTTATTTACTAATCTGTAGTGAAGTTCTTCAATACAGATGATTTGGTAAGCAAGGTCAATCTGTCCCTACCTCCACCTCACAGGAATCAGCTTTGTGCAGATGGTGATTCTCTCTCCTCCTCCTGAAGTTAGAGGACTTCAGGTGCTACTCGAACAATACACCCACGCAGTAGGAACCCTCACCAACCTCTCTTGCCTTATGGTTCCCTTCCTAGAATCAGCCAACACATCAAGACCACTTCCCCTAGGAGACCCCTGACTGCTAAAATCAGTGTCTTCAGATTCATCTCTTCTTGAACAGTTTAATTTCATCCAAGGTGTTAAGAAAGCTTACAAGGGGAGCTCATTTTTACAGAAAGGTCAGAAAGGTCTAAAGAATTGGGAGGGGAGCAGACAGGCAAGGGGCAAATGCTGTGAAAAGGACACTTGTGAAAGCAATCGGTGCATCCAATCATTTATGTCACCCACTGCTTACTATGTACCTGGCACAGTGCCAGGCACTGGGGCAAGGTGGGGAGCCAAGGCCATTTGGAGGCTGCTGCAGCCCTCAGGAGCCTCACAATCTGCTGGGGAGTATGTGGTGAACAATGAGGTTGCTCTTCTAACATTTTCCCGTATCTTGGTAGCTATCCCAATTTGTGTCCTCCCTACTCCCCATGCAGCCCATGAGCTTTAAGGGCCACTGACTCCATTTTTGAAACTCGAGTTTGGACATGTGGATCAGGCCATAGTTATAGCTTTAAAAACTGTTGCTATTGAGTGGATTCTAACTCATAGTCACCCTATAGGACAGAGTAGAACTGCCCCATAGGGTTTCCAAGGAACGGCTAGTAGATTCGAACTGCCAACATTTTGATTAGCAGCTTAGCTCTTAACCACTGCACCACCAGGGCTCCAGTTATTATTTTAGGGACTACCATATGACAATTTGGATCAATGAGACTAGAGAAGGCATTTGTTGGTGGCTTCTAGGGAAAGAAAACTCTTCGGGGGAAGAGGAGTGTGATTTGCAAAAGGGATGCCAGGAACTGCTGCAGCCCATTTATTTTCATGAAGGAGCTGAACTGAAGATTAAGTCAACACAGAGGAAGGCCAACTGAAAAGAGTTACAGGGAAATCAAGCTAGAGGGTTTGTCAAATCTCATCTGATCTATCTCTGGACTTACTGGTAGCCTGCATTAATAAAACCTCCTTAATTGTGTGTTATGGATTAAATTGTGTCTGCCCAGAATATGTGTGGGAATCCTAAACCCTATACCTGTGAATGTAATCCTGTTTGGAAGTAAGGTTTTCTTTGCTGTGTTAATTAGATCACACCTGAGTAGGGTGGCCTCTAAATCTAATCACTTCTGGTTATAAAAAGAGCAGATTAGACATAGAGATATGTGTGCACCAGGGAAGGCAGACACTACATGAGGATCTTCTATAAGCCAAGGAACCGAGGGATGACTGAGGATACCCACAAGGAAAGAATCAACATGGTCAAGACCTTGATTGGGACTTGGAGCCTCTGAAACTGTGAGGAAATAAATTTCTGTTTTTTAATGCCACCCACTCATGATATTTCTGTTACAGCAGCACTAGGAAACTAAGACATTGTATAAACCAGTTAGAACTAGATTTTCTGTTGCTTGCAACATAAACTGTCCAGATTGATGCAGAATCTGGTACCAGAAAGGAGGTGCTGCAATTAACAAGCCCTAAATGTGGGATTGGCTGAGAAGAGGTGTTAAGGCAGAGAGCAGCAAGAATATCTTCACTCAAATGTGGAAGACAGGGATGCTTCTCCAGCAAAATGGTAGTTTATGTTGGTCCTGTTTTATCCTGGGATACAGACCTTATGCTTATGCTTATTCCCATGACATTTGGGAATTTAATAGGAAATATTCGGGATGCTGGCCATCTCTGGCAATCTTCATTAAGGTCCTGAAGGTGTTGAATTTGGGAAGGAGGCCCATTTGAAAGTAGAGAGGGACAAAAATACAGCTTTGCTAAGAGAGGACCTTTCTGCCTGTTCCCTGCAATCTAAAGTGATTGGAAATTGATAAGTAAGTCCTGCTGTATTGAAAATCTGATATATCTAGCTAAAGTTAGAACACAGGCAGAAAATCAGGCTACTTAGCAGGAGAAAAATCAGGGTCCTTTAAAAACATCAATCCCAATTCCCAGGTCTCTCCCAAGCATCTTGTTTTAGGATGCCAACCTTGATAAGGGGACAGTTGGTTTATTGTGAAGATGCAGCTGGGTTATAGCTAGGGGACAGGGAGCAAGTCTGAGGTGCCTTCCCACTTCAGAGACGAAGGGAGAATCTACTAACCTGAGGACCAGGGCAGTGGGCAGGGTACAGAAGCTGGCTGCCAGCTCAAGGATTATCTCCAGTTCTAACTACCGGCCCATGGACTTTACTAGAAGAAACTCATTCAATTTTTAAGGGAGCTGAATTGCCAAAGACAGCAAACAACTATTGCCTGACTTTGCCCATCCTTAAGGGCTGTCCTTGAACTTGTACACAAGACCTATCACCCGTTGCCATTCAATCAATTACAACTCATAGTGACCCTATAGGACAGAGTAGAACTGCCCTATAGGGTTTTCAAGGCTATAATCTTTACAGAAGCTGACTGCCACATCTTCCTCCTGTGGAGCAGCTGGTGGGTTTGAACCACTGAACTTTACATTACCGGCTGAGTGCTTAACCACTGTGCCACCAGGGCTCCTTACCCACAAAAAGTGGGGTGCTAAAACAGTGACTGTCCCAGGAAGGCATTCCTCCCATGCCCACACATGTTAACAAGACAGTGGACAAAGAAGACGCACCCAAACCCAGGACTAGGGGCTGCTATATTGTCTGAGTGAGGAACTTGCTTCTCCACCAGGGCAACAAATCCTCAAGATTTCCATTCAGCAGGATATTACGTGGACCATCAACCAATGTCAACATGCTGCCCTTTCTCCCCTCTTGCAAATGGAAGTTCTTATTATAAATATTCTGTTTTCTTTCCACCATTCTTGGCTATGTTGGTGGTGTGAACGTCAGAATTTAGGCTACTAGATCAAGAGTAGACGTGATGGAGATTATGGCACATCTCCCAGAAAAATATTACCTTGGATCCAGTAACTATAGGAATCACAAGGCTGTCATCTTTTGGGGAGGGAGTGAGTCTATTTTAGCCAAGTGCAAGTATTTTTGATGATTACATAAGGCAAGAGCTTGAACGGATGTTGGGTAGTCCAAGGAGTGGATTATAGTAGGACATTATTGTGGCCCTTTTAACATTCATCTCCCCTTCTCTGGATAATAATCCTGATTTTGTTCAGGTAGCTACACCTGAACTCACAGCTCATCTGGTTTAGGGAAATCTAACTCTACATCCAGATCTAGGACTGGGACCCATGGCTCACACCTGAGCTCACACCTGAGCTCACACTGGCTGTCTTAGGGACTGGATGAAACATCTGCTTGTAGACAGATGAGTTCTCTTTTTTTCTTTTTGGTGAATTTATTGGGAGAATATGAATGCTGGAGCAGCCATGACACCACCATGAGGGGAACCAACTGAGGATGAGCCAACAAAAGGAGGAAAAGTTGAATGAATCATAGAGAAATGGAGTGGCAACCCTAATCATGCCATACTGAAGCCCACCTTACTCCTGGACTTCTGAGGGACATAATATCTTCTTTAATTTTGAGACAGTTTGTTTTCTGCTGCTTGCAGCCAAAAAGCAACTATTATACAGTGTGACAAATGCTAAAATAAAGGTATGAGAAAGTGCTGGTTGGTTAAGCGAGAAGGTAGGTTAATTAGCTAAGAGATGCGAGGTGCTTCTTTAAGCATTTAAAGTGGGAAGAGTTGGAAAGGAACCACTTGCAGTTCTTAACATAAAGCACACCCTTCTCATGAGGATTTATTTGGCTTGTCTGTGGCTATCATTACAAGTCTTCTAGCCCATCCAGGTGGGACTGGATGTCAGGACACTGCACCTGGCATCCCAAAGTCCCCAGTAAAGGTTGGGTGATGGAAGGCAGCCTGCCATCTGTCAGGCCCAGGCCGAGGGAGTTCCCCAACGTCCACTCACACTGTGAGCAGTCAGGCCCCTCCTAATCCTTTTTCCTCCCCACTGCTCTTGCAGAAGATGGATCACATGTCTCCCAAGCTGAGAGCCTTCCTTTCTGAACCTATTGGAGAAAAGGATGTTGGCCGGGTGGATGGGGTCAGCGGTGAGCTTGCAATCAATTTGGTCACCAAAGGTTTCAGCAAGGTAATTTGTTTTTTCTTTCATTTCCATCTTCTTTTCCCAGTCTCTCTTCCCCTAGTCCTGCCAAATGGCAGCCCTCCTGTCCCTGCAAGGCCACTAGAGAGAAAAGCTGTCACTTGGCAGGTGGTCACATGCTTCAGCGTGACTGACCTCTCATGCTTGGGCAGCCTCAAGGGCCCACAGATGATGGGCAAATTGCTCCTGCTCAGAGCAGCCAGGCTGGGCATGACTGACTTCGCACTCGAACACACAGAGCTGGCAGACTTGAGCCAGCCACTGGAGTCTGGGCTGAACGTCCAACCCCACTGCCATGAAGGAGCACCCATGCGTCTTGCGAGTCCCTGTTGTGGTGCCAACCAGGCGTTGGCAGGTGGAGTAACAGATCCAGTGCCTACACCAGAGTAAGGGGATGTGACTGCTAGCCCAAGAATGGCCTCAGTGATGTCCAGTGGAATCTGACCATTCTTTTCTATGTTTTCTACTTGTTTTTCTGGGGCTATTAAGAAGCTTAGGAGAAGATGGGCAACGTTCCCAAACAAAACCCAAGGAAAGTGAACCCATGTAAAGGAGACTGGGAACTCACGTGGAACATGGCATGCTGCTTCAAGATAGGGCACCAACAACAGCACAGTTAATTCCCTTTTTTTCCCCAAGTCAGTCTACACCACCAGGCAGGAGTATGTTGCAGAAACATCTAAAGAGGCTGGGAATTTCCTCTTTGGTTGCACAGTTAATAATCTGTTTGCTTTGTACCAGTACAGTGCATGGGTTGTTTCCAGGTGGCATCTGATCTGATTGGATTCTACCTTTCTGACTGACAAGCTGCTCTATGTTGTTGATGTTGTGGTTAGCTGTTATTGAGTTGGCCCCTGACTTATGATGACCCCATGCACAACAGAATGAAATGCTGATTGGTTTCATGCCATCTCCATGACTGGTTGTAGATCGGACAGTTGTGATCCATAGGGTTTACCTTCATTGGCTGATTTTCAGAAGTAGATGACCAGGTCTTTTCTCCTAGTCTGTCTTAGTCTGCAAGCTCTGCTGAAACCTGTTCAGCATCATAGCAATACACAAGCCTCCACTCACAGACGAGTGGTGGCTGCACACAATGTGCATTGGCAGAGAATTGAACCTGGGTCTCTCACATGGAAGGTGAGAATTCTACCGCTGAACCACCAACATCTCCTTTAAGCTGTTCTGTACCAGTTGTTAAATATTCTGAATATCACTCCTACCTACAAGCCATCTCAATACCCAATAGGTAATATTGTCAGGAAACTGGAGTTCCACAATTGAGGGAGATTTGATGCTTTCCTTCTAGATAGGGACCACCTCAAGGAGGTAATGAGGTTGGCAAGTCTGATTAGGGCATAAATTTTAAAATAAATAGTAAAAAAAGAAATGATTATGCACTTTACTTCTCTTTTGTGGTGTAACATAGATATGGCAAAGTGCATCAAGTGCATTAATGTGCTCAGTGCAATGAGTTCTTACACATGTACACACCCATGCACCCCCCCACCCAGATCCAACAGTCAGACACTTTCAAAATTCTGGATGGTTTCCTGATGCCCCTTACCTATAAATGGCATCCCCACTGAGAGGCAGCCACTATACTGGCTTCCACCACCACTGATTTAGTGATTCTGTAATTGCGGGGTTTTGTTTTTGTTGATGTTATTGTTCAAGTACTCATATTTTTTTTTCAGGTATAATTTAAATACAGTAAAATTCACTTTCTTTACTCTGCTGTTCTGTGGGTTTTGACAATATAGTCATTTAGCCACCGCCTTAATCAAGGTATGGAAACCTGGTGGCACAGTGATTAAGAGCTTGGCTGCTAACCAAAAGGTTGGCAGTTCGAATCCACCAGCCATTCCTTGGAAACCCTATGGGCAGTTCTACTTCATCCTATACAGTCGTTATGAGTCAGAATCAACTTGACAGCAACAGGTTTTGTTTTTTTAAATCAGGATATAGAACACTTCTCATGGTCTCAAAGGACATCCTTGTTAATTGGCCTAATAACATGTTTAGTGCCTATGTTCTACCTCCTAGTTCGATGTGTAGTGACTAGGGTCTTAAAAGCTTGCAAGGGACCATCCACGGTAAACAATTTGTCTCTATTCAACTGGAATAACAGAGGAAGAAGGAGAGTAAGGAACAGAAGGAGGAAATGGAATGTATGGCTAACTGCCTACATAAACAACTGCCTTCTTTGCTATGAGACCAGAAGAACTAGATGGTGCCCAGCTATCATTACTGAATATTTTGATCAAAGATTCCACAGAAGAATCCTGATCAACAGGTGGAAAATGCAAAACAGAATTTCAAATTCTCGTGGACTCCAGACTTCCTGGAGCTATGAAAGTTGGATGGACCCCTGAAACCTATTGCCCTGAGATAATCTTTAAATCTTAAACCAAAAATATTCCCTGAAGTCTTCTTAAAACCAAACTGTAGTTTAGCTTAAGTAGTAAAAAATGTGTGCCTGAGCATAATGCTCTTTTAAGAACTGTCTGTATGGGATCAAATTGACAACAGCAACTTGAAAGATTACATAGGAAACTTACGGGACAGTGAATTTACATTAATGGGGGAAGAACAACTCAGAAAAGGAGAGTGAGAATGGTTACACAACTTAAAGAATGTAATCAATGTCACTAAATGGCACATGTAGAAGCTGTTGAATTGGTGTATGTTTTGCTGTGTATATCCTCAACAACAAAATAAATAAATAAAATTATATTTAAAAAAAAATGTAGGCACTTCCATCACCCCAAAATATTCCCCTGAGCTCTCAGCCCCTGGCAACTACTGATTTGTTTTCTGTCCCTATAGTTTTGTCTTCTTCAGTTTAACCATATTTTGAAAGAGGATTTTAGGTGGGATAATTGGCATGTTTAAGACAAAGAAATGAATGAATAATGGAAAAATTTCAGGCATCTGAGAACTTGCCTAAATAGTGTCAGGGCTGTAGGGAAGAAGGCTGTTTTGCCTGAGAGCAGCCAAGCCTGGAATGTGCCTCTTCTTGCGTCAAGACCTCCTGGCTGGAACAGTGACCAGCATGCAGTTCCAGGCACGCTCACACCCAGAGCCACGAATTCCAGGTGCTGACCCGGGATTTCACCGTGATGCTTTGCCTTGAGACCCACATCCACCTGTGGTTTAGATGAGGGTCACCAACTCCATTGTACAAAGGAGGAAAAGGAGGCTCTAGGGAGTACGCACCTTGACCGAGGTCCCCAGTGAGGAAAAGGATCGTCATGGATTGTATCATCATAAACCATGTGAGAAGATCAGGGGCCTGGTAGTTACACCCAGGCTGAGGCTGAGGTTTGGTGGCCAGACCTCATCTCAGGGCCTGGGGCACCTTACAAGGTGAGCAGGTGCTGCAGGGCGAGGAACGGTGGGAGTAGGGCCAGGAGCAGGACAACCTGGCAGGCCAGGCTGTTGGGATCCCTTTTTTTTGTTTTTTTGTTAAACTTGGCAATGCTGCCTGGGGGATGTATATTGGGCATTGGGAGGGATGTCTTTCAGGGCTCATGTCCCCTGTCTTTGCAAGGCTCTGCTGAGGTATATGTAGCTAATTCCCAGCCTCGGTTTCTTTCCTGGGAGCAAAACATGGCCTCAGGTTTCACCATCACCCCTTACAGCGTTCCCAGCTGTGTCCCAGGGTGCTGGCTCCCCCGGCTCCTCCGCATTCTTTCTGAGGACCCGCTGGAGTGCAGAACCTCATGAGGCTGTCCCCAGACGCTTGTCTCCTCCCCTGCCACCAACCCTCTCCCTTGACGCCATGATGGGGGATGCCCGGGAGGAAGATGGGACCCCAGCCTCTGCTCTTTTCATGTGTCAGGGTGTCTGCATCAGCTCCCTGGGTTTGTGGCCCCGAGTAGAGGCAGGTGTGGAAGCGCTGCCCCCCATATAGGCCAGACTTCCATATGTTTTTCAACAGAAGGGGCCGGAAGGGGCCAGTTTCCACCCACCAGAATGTCCCTCTGGCTCACTGTTTAACTCTGGTCTTTCAAAGTGATTGTTTCTGCTGTGGCTCACTCAGGTCTCTTTAGGAGCTCAAAAGCCAAGATTTTGGCAGCATTCTCTCTGGGTTATTCTGTGTCTGTCCTTCCTTGGGTCTTTTGCCTGAAGAGCTAGATCTCTGCTAGCCAGTCCCATAGCCTCTTGCTACGTGGCCATTGAGCATTGGTCTGGGTTGAGATATGCTGTAAATATAAAATATCCACTGATTTTAAAGTCTTAGTTAAAAAAGTAAAATATCTCGTGAATAATTTTTTATTCATGTTAACAAATGAATATGATATTCTATATGTTGAAATGATATTTTGGAAGTCTGGTCTATAACAAAATATATTATTAGAATTAATTTCACCTGTTTCTTTCCCCCTTTTTACTGGGGCTACTAGAAAATTATAACCACGTATGTGGCTCACATTATATTTCTACTGGACAGCACTGGTCTAGATTTAACAGTGGAGGGGAGAAAGGAATTACTGAAAAGGAAAAATAACATTTTACACGCAGCATTCAAAGCTCTGTCTCACATTCTTGTGCGCCCACCCACCCGCTCCTACTCAGCCAGACTGTCTGTGAACCACAAACACGTATGGGAATCACCTTCTCACCAATGTGGGGCTCCTTGACATGGACTTTTATCCCCTTCCAAGGCTCCCTTTGGGGCCTCATTTGCTGCTCACCTCCTCTGCGAAGTCTTTCTTCTGCCCACCCTGGCCTAACAGGGTTAAGTATTCAATGGAAACCCATAGTTTCCTAGAGCTACCATAACAAATTACCACAAACTGTTCGGCCCAAAACCAAGAAATTTATTGTTGCACAGTTCCAAAGACTAGAAGTCTGAAATCTGGTTAAGCGCTCAGGCTGCTAACCAAAAGGTTGACAGTTCAAATCCACCAGCCGCTCCTTGGAAACCCTACCGGGCTGTTCTACTCTGTCCTACAGGGTTGCTATGAGTCAGATTCCACTCA